CTGGTTGCTATGCAAAGGGAGGTTGTTAACGAACGAAATAAATAGAAGAGGTCCTGGGATACTTCCTTGTGGTACACCAAATGATACAGGAGCTAATGATGACGTATTGTTCCTAATTTGAACACATTCTGATTGATTTCTTCCGGTAAGATATGGGATGCATCCAGGTAAGAAGAGTTTCGTCGAAGCGATGACACTTGAGCTTGGATATCAGAAAGCAGGGCCGTTCCTAGACGCGATAATTGGGTGTATATTCATATATTCATGTTCACATACCGTAAAAACAATCGTTTTCAAAAGGAATCCGCCGGGCAGAATACGAATATACACACCCCAATTATCGTGCTAGGAACGGCCCTGTCAGAAAGTCAACGTTAATCATGCCAAACGCTTTTCGAAAATCGATTAGTGTTACGCCGTTAAGTTTTCCGTGTTCGATATTTGTGAGCCATGTATCTACCAACTTAACAATCGCACTTTCGCACGAGTGCTGGCGTCGAAATCCGTATTGTCCTCTATACAGTAAGTGATATAGAAAATCAATGAGTCTGTTAAGCTCAACAACCTTGTAGCAAGTTGTGAACAGGTCGTTGACAACTTGTCAACAAGCTGGGAACAAGCAGTGCGAACACATCCTGTCGACATGTTGTTGGAACAACATTGCAACAAGTCTGCCGCAGGTTTGTTACAACTGGTTGTCTAGTTAATTAGTTGTGTTAATTAGTAATTTTGCACGAAAATGACCAGACGTAACATTTCAGTATTTTTTATGTAGACTGAGTTTCTACTGTATTTCATAATTTCTTGTAAAGTATAACGTTCATATTTTCACAAATTATCGATTGTTGATTGTAAGCGTTATTTTAATTTTGGGTCGTTTTCATAGCAAAGTAGTACGTCGAGAGTAAATTCGATGGGAAAAAAGAGGGCAGAGAAATTGATATTTTTCGCAAAGACGTAAAAATTAGTTTCAATTACTAATCAAGTTTGTCAACCAAGAATGCCATATTTTTGTCTATTAACAATGCAATATACAAACACTGAAAACGAGTTTATTACCCGTATGTAAGTCGTATGTACTCGTATGTAAGTCGTGTGTACTCGTATGTTGTCGTATACTCGTGTTATTCGTATATGTGTAATTAACAAGACAACTACAAAATAGACATTGAAATGAAAATATAGAACTTGTTATTCTATTTTTAAAAGAAATTACCTTTCCTTCAGTGTCTGATTCGTCGGAATCCATATTTAAAGCTAGTAGATATTAGATAACAAAGCGAAAGTGAAAGAAAACGAGTTTACTACCCGTATCATCGTATGTAAGTCGTATTTACTCGTATGTTAGTCGTATGTTAGTCGTATGTACTCGTGTGTTACTCGTATGTACTGGTATGTAACGCGCGTGGTGTTTTAGTCACGATCGCGGATAATTAATGATGTTATTGAAGAATTAAAAACTTCTAGTGAAAACTCGAACACTAGTTTCGAGTTAATTTGATTGGATCGTGACTGAAACACCACACGAGTAACACGAGTTACATACGAGTACATACGAGTTACATACGACTACATACGACTTACATACGACTTAAATACGAGTAGTAAACTCGTTTTCTTCACTAGCTTCAAATATGGATTCCGATGAATCAGACGCTCATCATGAAGGAAAGGTAAATTTCATTTACAATAGAATAACAAAGTTGTACATTTTTATTTTCGTTTTCAGTGCCAGCCAGCGAATGTGGGGCGTGTCTAATCGCTAAATAGCGTTTGTGTGTCATTCCTAGCTGGTATAGGAATGCCCCGGCAAAATGGGTTTTAATAGAATTTGACGAGCTTATCGATTCTCAACGACCTTAAAAAAAACAAACCCTATATAGTCGGTAAAGCACGTAATACTATTGTTCCATTAAAAAATTTACAACAACTGGATTTATTTACAACTACATGATATTTCCAATTATTTGCAGACTGTCGAACATTTCCATGACTGTACCTGCCCATACAAATTAATATTTAATTACACACGAATTATTAACAAATGCAATAAATACCTATGTATCACACAAATATATATATATTATTTCGTACGTACGTTTGTTTACCATCATGCTCAAATATATACATTCAATTCATTTACGTACGTATTTATTTCATATTTACAATTAAAAATGTTATTTCTACATTGCAAGGACCGCGCAAGCGGGGGGCTGAGGGGGCTCCAGGCCCCCCCCCCCCCAATAATTTGTATGGTATTGAACGCATATTCCCTTTCGTGCTTGGTTTGGGAAATTGATACACTAGTACTATAATAAATATACTATTGGTAGAATCATACTAGTATACTATTGCAAATGCTGTAATTTGATTGGCTATTCCACTCGCTATCTATTCCTCGATAGATAGCAAGTAGAAAAACAATAATTTTCCTGGCACATTTCTAAAAAAATTGTTTCCGGCTCGCGTTTTTTATTGAATTATTGAATTATTTTGTGGAATATTTTATGTTTGATCTCTGGACTCTGATTCTACTAAAACAATTAGATTACTTGCTCTCAATTTCTATGAGATGATATAGTTGATTCGGGCTTTACCCTCATCAACTATGACCTCATAGAAATCTCGAGCTCGTAATCACTGCATACAAGGTTGGAATATATAGTTCTCCTTTTGTACGCGACTTAACCAAAATCAGTTTCGAAAGGTAAAACATATTTCCTTTGAAGGTGTTTTGGGCTTCTACAGTGTCGCAGTTTTAAGCGTGCTTGTAATTTTTGGGGCTTGTAATTTTCACCAGACCCAACTAGGAAGGTTCCCTGCTTCGCCGCCAACTTACTTCATCTCAACACCAGCCCCCTCCTCAATCGTAAAATCGCTGCGCGGTCCATGCATTGATAAGGTGCTTTCTTAGATAACAACTACGCATATATCTAGCAAAACTGAACAAATGTCAGAAAATTTAATATGAAACAGATTTGGCGGAGATTGTCATTGATCACTTAAAAAAGTAAAAAAATTGTTGCTTTCATGTTGGGATTAGTCCTTCTTGCATTTTTTACTTTGCCATTCTTTTTCAGTGTGAGTAACCACGTGTCCCTTTTATATTTCGCCAATGAGAATCTGACGAAACCACCGTTAACACTGTACTGGAATAAAGATTTATCGGTTTTGCTCTTCTATTATAGAAAGAGAAATTTAAATAATTTCAGGAATATTTATAGTTTATCATTGTGATCATTATCAATTCTCGGAGGTGTAAGTACTGGGTTTTAAAGTGGTGTAAACATAAATATCGATGGTTGTAATATGAATATTTGAGGTAGGAATATAAAATTTCGGGTAGCTAGGAATCCCACTACCGCGCTACCTCTTACTGGCAGCCATTATTGCGCATTTGATTGGTTGATTGAGTAGATTAAACGCATCTGATTGGTTAACGGTAGCGGTAGTTAAAATCTGAACCTCTCTAATACCGGATCTGGATGAAAACATACCTCTGTAATAACGACTCCTCTCTTGTTAATAGCGATGTATAGTTTTGCCGCTATGTTATATAAGCGAACCAAACTCGTACCATATGTTTCCATCCGGAAATAGACTAAAAAGAAAGCCATGATATTATTAACCAATATTAACATACCTTAATAGGTAATCACACGGGAAGGAGTGCAATTCATGATTAATTGCAATGATTTCTGGAAAATGTGCCAAAATTGCACGAGCCGCCGACGCGAGTGCATTGCGATGTTTGTTTTCACAAAGCCAGTCGCATTTTTTGCACTCAACTTAATTGCACTTCTCTAAATTGTACTCCTCTTAACCAATCAGATTGCAGTAATTTTGTCATAAAAAATAAATACATTTAATTAATTAAATTAATTAATTAGTCGGATTAATACTCTTTCATTCTTGTCATGTATAAGTCTTACTCTTGGCACCTGTGCTCTTGGGAAAATTGTTTAACACATGAAAGCAAATATTGCAGCTGGTTTCTGTCTTTGGTCAACGGATGCTTTGACCAAAGTGTGTGCCAGTGGAAACTTTTAAAGTAATTCTAGTCTTTGGGTCAAAGTTTGACATCTAATGCCACATAAAATGAGGGAAAGTCAACTTTCACTGTGTGAATTAAGGTGGCTCCCTACTATTTTCTGACGTATGGAAAGTTTATGAGTTAGCCACCTTCTGAAGAAATGTTGCTTATTGGAAAATAAATATTGTACGACTTTAAGTTGTATCAAAGCAAATTGTAAGAATCACAAAAGCTACGTCACAACTGCTGCCATGGTAGCAATGTCGATTCACTATGGCCGATATGTTGGCTTTTAATGTGGGTAAGCCTTGCTACCACCATTTCGTCTATAGTATGGTAGATTATATAAACGAGTTTAAAATAATTCTGTACTGATAGCTAAATCTTTAAAAATGTTAAAAGGCTTATCATGGTTTATCGCCATAAATAACGTTTGGCTTTACCGAAAATTTTAGCCAACTGAGGTCAGGAGGATTTGGTTTGGTGTTTTTGATCGAAGACCATACTTGGAAATTACTGGAAGTTTCAGAAGAAATTAGTATGTAGAGATACTTCCAGCAATCGGATCGAAATTAAACGGCCGAACAGCCATCCAAAATTCAAACTCTTCACACTTAAATACAACGAATTATTTATACTAATTATTGATAATAAATTTTCATACATGCATTCCGGCACTAAATGGAGCTCAGATAACCATCGTAAATTTCCATTCGTATATGACGGTGTTCAATGCATTGACCACTTTCATAAATGGCTGTCAAATCTATCAGTTAAACCCTGTCTATTTGTTTTGCCTTGCCCTTCATGCAGATTCGTTAAAAGCAAAACAAACTTGGTGTGGCCAAATGTGTAAACATTTATCACAAATCTGCCAAATATGTCACATTCCTGGAATATTTTTCGAATATATTCTTGGCAATGTCGAATAAACTGTGGGATAGTAACAGCACAGACCACACCTAATCTACATGAAAAACACTTTCCCGCCATATAGCTCAGATGCCTGTGGTTACGCGTTGTTCTAGATCATAACTAAACCTTTGTCTACATAAAGGTACACAATGGGTTATAATTGGTTTAATTAAGGACAGGAAATGATGCAATATTTGTCAGGAACTGTCGTGCCACTTTTCTCTTGCGAACCTTAAACTTCGACGGTCTTTCGTAGTGTATTTCGTAGGGCGAATAGATGGTACACCGAGAAACAGGTAAATGTCTAATTGCAACATTGTACCAAATGCAAGTGAATTAGCTAGTATATAAATACAGCGCAGTGCCCAGGGTCTTAGCTAGAAGGCCGTGTTGGCACGGCTAGATGAAATGAACGCGGCTTCAGTATTTATTTTTGGCCGTGCATGTACGTTCATAAAATAAGGTGTTGCTACTTACAACATACATCATTTCTTTGTAAAATCTACTGTAGTTGTTGAAATTGGTAAAAGTGATCCGTGATGTTTTAATGTTTTAATGTTTTGATGGATAATGGGAACCGTATGGTTGTTAAAATGGCTTTAAATGTCCCAAAAGTTGCTAAAATAAGTTATTATAATGTCAGTGCGAGATATGAGCGTATGCTCGCCTTGTATTTGGTTAAAAAGCATATAGAACAACCACAGGTATAGTCTATTGTTGACAAGCATAACTGGAATCATGTTTTTGGCTATTCAAGGCAATTGACAGGGGCACACCCTGGAAATTTAGAAACACGCCCAAGATATAAAATCCTAGCTAAGACCCTGGCAGTGCCTTGGCTTTTCTTCGATCGGATAACTTTCTGATTAATGCATATGCTTTGGAGTTTTCAAATTAGCGTTAAGTTTTATTTGTAGTAGGGTTGGTATGAATAAACAATGTAGAGACCTTTCGAATTTTCCTTCGACGTCAAACGCTAACCGCAAACCGCAGCTTGTCGCCAGCCGTCTGCAATTTGCCGTTTAAAAGCGGTTTTCCACTAGGCGAAATTTTTCGACCGAATCGAAATTTTCTTTTGTCTTACAAGCACTCAGATGGAACTAATCAGAAATCTTTTGAATTTGAACACTAGAAATTTCGGTTCGATCGAAAAATTTCGCCTAGTGGAAAACTGCCTTAACGCATATTTTGTATTTAGTTTTCGACGTTACGTAACTTTGGAAACAATTTCACGTATTAAGCAATTGCTGGTGTAATCTTCAGATGTAGGTTACCATGATTCATAACAAATTAAATTTCGATTGGTAGGGATACAAGGAGAACTTCGACGGTTTCGAACGAAGGCCCTTGTCGGGAAGTTTGTAGCCCGGCCTATACCTCATTGAACTATAAATAAACTGGAAGGCTAACTGCTATGATGAAGGCCTATGATTTGATGAAGCCAAAATAGTTTTTCTGAGTTATGAGCAGAAATACTTGACCCCAAACGTCGGGCTATATATCAAATTGAAGCTATTGAAAATTGCTATTCGGTGAGGAAATTTCAAGACTTCAGCGAAAAGAAAAATATTTAAAAAATACAAAAACAACTGCAAAATGGCAAAGTTATCGGCAATTATTTTTGTAGTTTTTCAATATTTCCCTTTTAGTTAAATTCTTGAAATTTCTACACCAAATAGCGTTTTTCAATATAGCTTCAATTTGATATATAGCCCAACGTTCAGTGTTGATAACTGCATGCTCATAACTCAGAAAAACTAAAATGTACTGGCTTCAATCCCCCCCCCCTGAGTTAGCCTTCCAGTTTATTTATAGTTCACTGCTATATACCTAACCGACGAAGGGCCTTCACTCGAAACGTCGAAGTTCTGCATGCTTGTATTTATCAGGTAGTTTCATTCCTATCAACGGAAGTTTCGCTATTGTTGGCACTATACGTACCTATACTGGCACACGGACAAGTCAAGTTTATGAGTCATGATTCATGCATGTATACATATAATTATATACACTATATGTATTACGATGAAAAATGTTTGGAAAAAGGTTATGTTTGGAAAGCTAAAATAAATAGATAATTGGGTTATCAAAACGAAGTCCAAATACACTTGTTGAAAAATTAACTGCTGAACGTGCTAGGTTGCCTCATGTCACTGTACAGGTCCTTATAAAGTCCTTAACTTAACATGACATAACTAATTAGACATACAAGCGTTGGCGTCCATCTCTTCTTGCTTCGCTCTTAACTTAGTTATTTATACATTGTTTGCTACTAAGCTACTTAGCAGTAAAATTCGGTAGCTATTGAAAATCAATAAAATCAGTCGCCAAAGATGATCAACTTTGCATGACCCCTCTTTGACTTGAATTTTACGAGATTGCGGACGGCCCGCATTCGGAATGATGGGAATGCAATAGCAAAGAATGCGAGAGCATTCCCATGGGCATTTGCGTCCTATTGTTCCAACCTGCAAGACTAGCCTGCATGTCTTGGAGGCTACATGATCTTAATTTTTCTGAAGCAAATTTGAGGGACTGTGGAAGAGTCAAGCCGATCTAATTTTGTGCACAGAAATATAGGTTAGGTGAAAATAGCGACATTTGCTAAATATAAACTTCAGAAACAACCGTTTGTCCCTCTTTCTAAATATCTGTACGTACGTCTTCTCGCCGACAAATATAATTAAATAAGAACTGCTGTAGTCATATATATAGGCTACATTTTAAGCCAATATTAATTAAACACTCAGCTGAAAATTCTATACAATGTCAATGATGCACACCCATCTTACCGGTTCACAAATATAAATCAATTCATACAATTTCGTAGAATATTTATCCTGTTAGGTATGGTAATTACCATGCCAGAGTGAAAATCCATTCCAAAAAGTGTGGCGGCCGTGCCAGCGAACAAATGTAATTTAGTATGGATTATATCACAATGTCCAGAAAGTGAGGGGAACGACTTCCTCGCCCCACCCCCCAGGATTTACGCTCCTGATAATTATAGGAATAATATTTTAAGAAGAAAATGGACTGACACTAGCTCTTATCCTTTAATATTTTAATCCCGTTGTTCTCAATTCCGTTTACCAGAAAGAACATTCTGTGGCGAAAAGTCAACAGCACATGAAGTTCCCACCCGATGCTAAATATATATAAAGAGTGCTATTTTTAGTTAGAGAATACATACAGTGATATGATATGGCGGTCGCTACCTCCCTTCTCACGATTCACCAGGCTGCATAGTGTGACTGATTGTGTGGCTAAGTTGACATTCTTTATGAGCCATTATTATGGAAGAGTGGAAAGAACAAATAGAACACCACGCCAATTTGCATTGCGTGTTAACAAACATGTCTCATACCGTGGCAAAAACAATCAACATTTTTGTTTGTTTTTAAATCACGCAATAGAGTTTAAGTTTGCTGCATGCATGCCAGAGCCAAATTAGAGGCAGATAATAATATCTTAATAAAGAAAAATAACCTCATGTGATTGAAACACTTTCGGCGGACCTTCGCTTAGGAACTTTCTGATTCTTTCACAATGAACCAATTAATGCCAAATGCACGGCCACGGGCTTCATACTTCTACTACTTTCAGAGGATCGAAATGGCTCCATTGACCATATTTTATTCACGAATTTCAAAACCGTTATATATAGTCAACCTTAAGTTGAGAACCTGCAACCGTTTCATGCATGGTTCAAGTTCGGGGTATGATTTTTACCATCTTTATATAATGGAAACAGTAAACTAAACTGGCAGAAGCATTTAAGGCTAAAGGCGTAAGCATTAACCGGAGATTTTTCCATAAGCGAAGCAGCCGAAGGAATTGCTGTCTCAGTTTTATAAAAAACACCGGTGTTGGCCCAACCGGAATAGGAATACTTCAATGCCACGTAAACTATGCTGTAACAACTGAATTAGATGACACTCTTGCTGAATAAAACAGTGATATAAATTCGAATAAGGTTTTATATATATATTAGCTAAATGATCTTGTATACTTGTCAATCTATATGAGATGGATCAAATAGAGAACTACAAGTGCGTCTTTCTTTTAAACTAAGTTCAGATATCCACAATTTCAAGTATATGGTGTTTTTATTACCTATCTAAGCAGCTTAGAGCGCGAATAATCACGGTCCACGGAGTAATTTAATTACTAGATCTAAAATAGCATGTCAAAAAGGGGAAAAAATGTCATTTTAAGCGGAAGAAAATCCAAATACTTTCAGGTTATGCAAACGCATTCCAAAATGACTTCCAAAATTTAACAAAGAGCCCAGAGATAGCATAATACTTTTGCAGTTTGCATGGGTGGCATCTTGCCAGTTTCGGTCGCAAATGATCACATGAATTCTTGGCAAGAAATTAGTCCATATTCACCGACTCTAATTAACGCGTAAACATCTAATCCTATTATTATATATATATTATATATATATAATAAAAACACGTTTAAATTGCCAGACTTACCGTTGCCCTTGATATCTTTAGTTCCGCCAACTTTGCCGCCTTTTGAAACTTGTAAAAAGTAATGATAATGGTGGTAAATGCGAACAATTCGGATATTCGTTTGCTGTTCAGATCCTTGGACGGATCTTTTTTCCCGCGTGTGGTCAAAAGCGTTTTCCAATGTCGTTCTCTCGAAATTCCATCGAGTTCTTACGACTGCGTCACGAGGTAGTTGTAGCGGTGAAGCTTGAAACATGAGTGTTCCAAGCACAATGGCAATTATAAATCTCATAGGACCATTAGGTTTGTACCGTGACAGCGCCTGTAGAGTGAAGAAAAATAATTTGTTCATATGTACATTTCCGTGTCCTTGCAATGCGAAGTATTACAAAGATGCAAAGCTAAGCAAATACAGTGATAGGTATAAATACACAAAGAGAAATTAGAGACGAATGCACGCGCACCAAGGTATGATGAAACAAACCGCGGCGACTGAACTGAACGGCCACCTTCTCAAGATCAAGCATGCCTCGACAAAATGTGACGTCACACAGAGAATGAGTTATCATGATCACGAGACGATGAATGACTCAATCAGCCTATCAGCGGGCCTTAGTTACACTTCTCAGCGCCTTAGTTGAGGGGGGAAATATTTTTTGTTTATTCTAGCTTGCCATAGCGATCTGGTGATGCTACGCAAAATACCGTTCTCGTTTCTTCCAATTTCGTCATCGGGATTATGGGAAAGTTAATTTAATTAAAAAAACTAAAGAGATACTTTGATAAAATCTCCTCGAATTTTATATCGTTGGCTAAACAGAAAGAAAGTTTAGAATACATAATTTAGGGAGGTGAAATTATGCTTGTGCATATTTGCAACGACTTCCCATTTTGGCATTATTGTGGATTTGAGTGCATCTTGGTTTCCATACTTTCACACATTTTGGAGAACACCCGCAAAGTGCTATTAATAGTTAAAGTCATGATTGCGGTATTGGTGGATGCAGAACAAAAAATATTAAAGGCTGGGTTACATTATCAAAGCCGGTTTCTGTGATCACAGTAGGAATTTTGCATACTGGGTAAATGATATAAGTTTTGAAGGATTTGTAAGAAATGTTTGAGGGAACTGATTCCGTGTTGAACAGTGAGTGAATTCCCTCAAAGAATTCTTCAAAACTTAGAATTGACTTATGCAAAATTCCTACTGTGATCACAGAAAAAAGGATGGTGTAAAGTGCATGATTGGGTAATGGTATACTAATGAAATTGATTGGCAATCTGCAACCTACATAGTGAAAATTCTCTTGGCTGCATGATTTATCAACGATTTTCATTGTTTTGACTGAAGGTCAATCTATGATTAATTAAAATGGTTCTACGAATAGTGCGACTGAATTCACAATTGGCATTGCCAACTATATTTTCTCGTCAGTTTCACACGATATTAGATCCATTGACACATTGGATATAGATCCATAATTGAGATATCTAATTTTGATTGACTCCACTTTTCAGCAAAGATATGATAAAAGAACTCGCGGGAATTTGTCAAGACCTGATTTACTGTAGAGCTGACCTATAAGTGAAATCGTTGCGTGAATCTGCTAAATCCTATAGCGTATAATTAAAAGAGTTTGAACTGAGTCCCTTCATTTTTCCGCCGATCGATATACTAATAGACGTACTTGACTGACAGTTAACAAGTACGATAACATTGTTATTTAACTTAATTACTATATACACTGTTAATTTCAGGGAGTTAATTTCACTCAGCTGGAGTTATTTTGAACCAAATTTTACTCCACATTTGGAGTTAAATGCTTTTCGAAACAACTGAGAGTCAAATCGACTCCTTGAAATTAACAGTCGGTAGAACATTCTTAATTCTATCGAAAGGCGACCAGTAGAATTGTAGTTCTTGGACAAACACGACTTTGTTTCAGTTCCCAAAAAGGAACCCTTCGATTAATTGTCTTCTATAGGTACTTCTTTAATGAACCTATTATACACATGTTATATACACGCTAGTTTTGAAATGCCTTTATACGATATTGACTTTTTATCCTGAAGAAAAATAACGATGTCCTCTTGTGTCAATGTAACTGACCAGTCATACGAAGAGTTATGACGCAGTTATGAATATGTTTATATAGAGAAAAGTGCCGTTTCTCAATTCAATATAATTAATAGAGATTGGAGGTACGATTTAAAGCACTTATGTACAAATCACTCTCGTTCTTACAATAGTCTCACTATATATTAAGCATTCTATAACTTGTGTCAAATGAATAAAGGCACCAGACTGACTGCTAAACTCACGTCTAAGCCGGCTTAACTGCTTGTACACAGTATCAATGGTATAAGAGAATATTAATATATGTAATTAAAGAATCGTCACAAGTTTTCCCTACCGCGGTGCATTAAAATCATTATATGAAACATATAAAGTTTTCTGCGTATACTGTATATCACATTTTACTTTAGTTTGTATAGTATTTTTAAACTCCAGAAAGGCATAATGTTGACATTACATTATCAATCACGTTAGGAATTCATTTTCGCTTCTTAGATACACTATATAGTTTAATTTGTAAAGCGGTATCCTTCTTAAATTGGAAACACCCCATACTCAACAAAATAGCAAAAATGAGAGATAATCCAGTACAGGAAATAAGTCACTTGTACCGATATGGTTGAAAATGATGACTTAAACTTGTTGCCCATTGTGAACAGTTACAATACTAAGACCGGTATGAAGCAAATTAAGCCTGACAACAATATAAAAGATGTTAATATATAAACGAAATTAGGCAACATAAAGAGGACAAGTAAGAACAGCAATTTCTTTATTTCACTATAATCTATGCATGTGAGAAAAATTGGCTACTCTTTAACCATTTATGGAAAGTCAAAATTACTGCCGCAATGAGACCCTATAACCCAAACGATATATATTCAGTTGTAGTACACTGATTAATATCACAGTTATTCAATATTAGCGGCAAGAGATTAATTTAAAATGAAATTAAGATTGTTCTCCTTAATCTTACGTAGCATAACAAAACAGTATATGAAAACACGTTGATTAAAAAACTAATATCAAACTAATAATACCTTTGTTCACCTTAGTACGTTTCGTCCATTGGCAGGGAATGGAAGTGGTTTCCAATAGCCTATGACTAAAGTAACACTCTTAACCTAATACAGCGTTAGCGAGCTTTGTTATCGCTTTGAATTGCCTTTGTCGTCGGTTAATTACTAAGAGTGAGAAAAACAATCTATGTCACCAGGTCGCCTGTATACGCAGTCTCTGTGGCATTCCTGTGAGCGTGCGGTCACCTACTGACAGAAGAACAACAAACGTTTCCACGGCATTGTCCTTTATATACAAGATACTAGCCAGGCATTGTATACTCTCGTTCAACTTCCGGCGAATCATAGACGAGACGCTTTACAACAAGATGCGCATGAGCGCTTACGAAAAGACGACTTTATAAGAGGACAATTATCGCAAGTGGGAATATTTGATTACTTCCCGAAAAGCAAACATGAATGGTTGAATATTGCGGGACCAACCCTGATTAGGTAAACCAACAGTAACACAAGTGTATCCAAGCCGTTGATTGCCAAATTTGCTTTCAATATAGTCATTTAGTATTTCCCGAGCGTTCAGTAACGAATTGTACAAAGACAGGGTGAGAGCTCATTTAAAAATATTAGCTTTGTGGCATTGACATTTTTAACCGACGCACATGCGCCGTCACAAATTTGGGCGAAACGCATTTTTAAAATATCATTTTAAACATGCTCTTTAGTTTTAGTATACGTTGAATATGGTTAAATATAGCTAGAATAGATTCGAACAGGAATACATACTCAATTAGAAAATAATCTACTTATCGGCAGCAACATTTGTACAATGGTATATGCATGGATCAACTTGTTCTTATGAACAGCTTCTACAGTGTGTATCAAAATAATTCGAATCCAAATTTGACAGACTGCTGTTTATAAAATACTAAAGTAAACCATATAATTTTTACATGGCAATAAAGAATAGCCTATTAGGTTTCCGATGACCAAGAAATCGTGTGTTAAAACTGGTTGCTCGAAATCAAATTTTTCCGCCGATGGGAATTCGAAGTGAGACGTACAAACAAAAGATAATGCAAATTTAATTAATCAACAAACTGTTATGTAGCAAAATTTACATAAATTCATGTTCATTTAAAGAGATTTAAGCTCCTATGCTTTCAACATGTTGAACGAGAAGAAATTCGCGTTAAATTTGCATTTTAGTTTTCAGTGATGATTAGCATTTCAAAGCCTTGTGGGACTAACTTTGAAAGAAAAAATGTCCAATTCCCCTCGGCGGAAAATTGTGATTTTTATGGACTTTTTTTGTCAAAGCAATACTCCTTCATTTCCCAACTAAATGACGCGTACAGCATGTCATTTGAAAGATAAATAAATGAACTTAACAATGGTGTAAAAACCAACCGAATTTGTCAAATATATTCTGCGTTATTACACGCCAAATTTGGATTCGAATTATTGTGATACACACTGTATATCTAGTAGCGTTTGCTATAGTTGATTTATCACATACTTTGCCTTTATCAGGGCGATAACAGGGTGACATAAGAACGATATGTCACTGTCACTGATATCGTTTTTTGTCATTGATATCGCTTTTTGTCCCGCTATTTAAATAATTGTTGCATTGGGGCAATGATTAATATTCTAATAAAATCTGATCCTGATAAAGGTATATAACAAGTATATATCTGAATAAACAGGCTATCATAATCGGAACGAGGCGGCATCAGTTTAATCGCTTTCACGACGATGCCATAAATGACCCTCGTTCGTTGCCCTCACCTGTGACATTTATCGTACCTCAAGCGATAAAACTGATATCGCCTCGCCCCTCATATGATAACCTCTACATACTGAGGTTAGGAAAGTGACTGACAACTGTACCGTGTTTTGGATGTACAGTAAACCAGTTGAGTATATGAGCAAAATAAATACGTGGATCATAGAGTATGCATGGTGTTAAATGTTCAAAGCTAGTAGCAGTATGTTCCAATGTTCTAAACGTTCTAAATATTACTTGAAAATAAAAACTGCGAGCTGATAATGCAATCATACATGAAGAACTTCCGACGTTTCTTTTATATTTTTCAGGTACAAATTTGCATCGGCTACACAAATTTGCATTTATTTATGTACTCTTCGTCACCTGCACTGGCAACAAAAGTACTTAAAAATAACTACGCAGTTCACTTAATTAATTAATTAGGTAGTAAAACGAATATAGAGATTGAATATTGATTGAATTGTAGCAGGAAGAACATCAATCTATATATACGAGTTTCCAATGCAGAAATATCTGAAAAGACTCGCTATGCCAACGGAGTATGAATAAAGTTGAGTGCATGGTTAATGTTGGAATCCTGCAGATAGTTTGCGCAACCATCTGCATGCATCGGTGGCGGATATTTAGCAACACCTTGCAGGGTCTGCTTCCGAGAAATTTGTGATTCAATGTGTTTAGTGGTCAGATGTGATGTGCTTTGACGTGAGAACTAATATTGTGCAGTTTCTAATAATAAATCAATTCATTTTAATAGCATGCATGCATGCATGCATGTAAGAACAGTGCTGGACATTACACACGTAAACATCTACACAATTGTCAACTGGTAACAAACCTGCTTGTCGACAACTACAGTAGCTGCAAGGTTGTTGACTCAACAGATTTCTTATGAACTTGTTCAACTTGTTACCGTTTTGCAATTTAGCAACTTGTAACAACTTGACAATCCAACAACATTATTACAACTTGTTGACAAGCTTACTGCAAGCCTGTTGCGAACACATCGTGTTCACGAGATGTAAGATTTACATGTGCGTGTGCGGTAAGTAGTTTCATTATAGTTCCTGCATGAATTGCGTTCGAAAATTTCATCTACAAAAAAATCATCTACTACAAATGATATGACCTATCCAACAAAACTATTTAATAGTTGTAAAATAGAAATATATCTGTGACAGTGTCCTGTTTCGCTTGGGTGAATTAGAATTTTAAAGCTGACAGTTGACTGATATGTGGAAAACATGCTTATTCCAGTTGTTGTCACTACTGAGTACGTTGTCGTATCGAGGTGGAAATCTGTTCAACTGGTCTACCTCTTTCTATCATTCCGACCTTTTACAAGTGTCGTTTACGCGTACTGTACTGGCAAATTTGTCGGCGTGAATGCATATTCGTTTGATCGTTTATTATAGTTTTCTTATTTCTATACGTGAAGAGGAGAAAAATCGCCCACAAACTTGTCATAAATAAATAAATGTGCATGCATGCTAATGGAACCAGGCTTTAAAATAATCTTAACTCGATTACAGCAAGCTTTTGTAAAGTCTAAACTATCAACAAATTTGACTCGACTGCTATTATGCTTATAGCGTGCAGATGCATGGTAAAATAAATTGAATAATACAAGTCTGTATATAACAGAATTTGAAATCTATATATATACACATGAAGCATGGTCATAAAAATTCTTTCATATATAATATACATGCAGTACAGCCTAAGGTGTTTTTGGCAAACTTATCCCATTTTATTCGGTGTTGCGTCATGCTCATATATAACTTTGTTATAACTAATTATTGACAAAATAACAACTTCGCAAATTCCTTATAAAGCCAGAATTCTAAAGCTATAGCTAGGACAGAACAATACTGATTAATGTGGCATAAATTCCTGAAGTTCCGCAGTGAAGTTTGCCAGCAGACGATACTTATATTGCTTTCAGCTTAATATTGAAAATATTCCGCATTCTCCAAAACAAAAAAATGAAAACCATCAAAGGGCAATTTTTTCTATGTCACATACTAGCGATGAAAATTCGCGTTCAAAATCTAAAATGTTTCTGGCGTAGCCTACCTCTCAAAACTGCCTTAGGCTTGGCCTTGTTTTTTAGTTTATATATTACCTACACATTTTCAAATGCATCTGCTGGTTGATTAACATAAAATAATAGTAAAGGCAGTTGCCGGTCAATTATACTTTCCGTGCTTTAAAGTTATATAGTAGCTGGTTTTGATTGTTCTTGTGGAGTGGTTTTAACTCCAGAGTTGCATGAAATTAATAGTGCATGCAAGCATATTTACATGAATATAAACAAAATTTACTGAACTTCTGAATCAGACATCGCTTTCTCTTTAACGTACTATCTAAAATTTCTTCGTTTTAGCATTATTTTACGCTAAAGCGCTACGAATACTAGGCTAATACGTTTGTTTGCCGATCGAGAAACGTATAAAAAATTAAACATTTTGAATGTAGTCATAACAAGTGGCATATTATTCTCAATGAGCACACACAATGATTATTTCCTCATTAGGCAAGCGGCAAGTTAATTAATCAGGCCAGTCTTGACAAGGTTGAAAACGACTATATATATTGAACATTCTTATACTTATCTAGTTTTTGACAAAATTATGTTTCAGCAAGAGTTAGAATCATATAAGCGCCATGATTATAATGCTATATAATTATCAACTGCTTAGTGTGCATGAAGAATATTAATAGCACTATAGGGTCTACGCCTATAGTAGAGATATTTAATGTCATTATGGCTGCACCTTTCGATAACAAAAGCTTTTATCATCTGAAAGGACAAGCCTGAATTTCAAATTAAGATTTTTACATTTCCTATTTATCATTCTAGATATGCAGCCAATTCAAAAAAAGGTTGTCTTTTTTAAACCTTAAACTGATAAACTCTAAACCTTAAACTCTAAGTGTGCAAAGTTTAATGAGAGCACAAGTTTCAAGCTTAGTAGTTGAATATTGCAGCTATTTGTGAATGAGCTATCTGTGAATGAATTGTTCTCGTTAGGAGATATTTACCATGACCCATGTCTCTAAAAAATGGACCCCATGCATGAGTGATAGTTTAAACTGATTAAATGATGTTCCCATTATGCTTTGCACGCTTGGAGTTTAAGGTTTAAGATTTAGAGCTTAATGTTTGCAAAGGACAACCTTTCTTGAATTAGCTGTATAAAAAAAAGCCCACAGAGGTTATAAACAAAACCGCAGAGAAATTATTTACCGCGCATGGAAACGATCATCTTCATATCAGCATATGTCAACTTGACCTGAAGGGCCCCAATACAATATCAGTATTGGATACAATATCAATGATTGTCGTTCTTTATATAATTACCAATAATATATTGTAGATAGAAATCACTAACAACATGCATGTACGATATTTCTGATACAAAGTTATCTTTTTACATATAGATGTTCGGACTGTGGATCAATTTAACACCTGAATAATATTTATGGTAAACATACACCAAGATCTTAGTATGCAAAAATTGATGTGAGCTTTTACAGACGATTCCTAGCCCTAGTTTTCATCATGTTGAAGTCGTCAAGCCGTTACGAAGCTCAGAGTTTCAGCTCATAGTTGTTGCACAGCTGTTGAAATTGGTCGATATAGCAATGTTGTGTACGATAAAAGAGGTCGGAAACGAACAGCACCGATTTAATGCGGTGCATTAAACAATTTGACGTCGAAAATACGTCGATTGACGTCGCGACGGGAATTCGACCAGAATTCGACTTCGGTTGCCCACTGGGAGGTGTATATTCTGATTTCAGAACGGATTTTATCTTAACCAAATAAATCAATCGTTTCCTTCTTTTAATATTCATGCAATGAAAGACAAATCCATGGGGACATTGGTAGCCAAGTATTGTGCTTCGATATCCAAACAAATTTTGATCAATTATAACTATATAGTATAATACTAATTTTTAATCCAGTCTCTCTGCAAATTTAATGTTTTTGTATTCTATGTATCAGTATTGGTAGCTTTGTTTGAATAAAGTTTGTTTAAAGACTTGGGTGCAATGAAATAAACAAATTGCTTAAGCCTGCCGCACACGAGAGCTATCTGCTGAGCAAAAAGTTACTCGTGCCTGTTAGCTCAGCTGATAGCTCACCGATCAAACATGTTTGATACGTGAGAAAAGGTTGCATGAGGCAAAAAACTCAGTAAAATGTACCCGCACACGGTGAGCTATCGGCTGAGCTAACAGGCACGAGTAACTTTTTGCTCAGCAGATAGCTCTCGTGTGCGGCAGGCTTTAGCTTCGAACGGCCTTCGCACGCTAGAACAACTGGGCGGGAAATGTTCCCAGCAAGGAAGCATTTTTCATTCAAGTGGCAAACAATTTAGAGCAATTAACGACATCAGACACAGGATATGGACCGGAAATTGTGGGCACGGCGGAAGTGAACGACAACTAAACGTTAATTGGCGACCTCGTGTGTTTGTGGTTATTGACGATTCTTAAATCCGATCAGCTCTGTCGCCGGACATGAAGTTGAATCTTGGCTTCAGGTTGCACGCTGTGCCAAGGAAACGACATGATCTTCGACACAACTTGGCTACATCCGCCGTGAAATTAAATTTATCTAGAAGTTTCTTTGGTTTGAAGTATAATAAATAGCTAGCTATGTATATACACACCAAGTTAGAAACCTTAGCAAACTAATACCGCGCAACTATTTTCATTGCACTTAACACTAAGTTGTTAAAAGTTAGAATTTTCGACTACAACCATTGTTTGAAATATTTTATTCAAATTTGATAAGAAAATATACTAACTTTACTTTTACTGAAAAGATACCGGCGATCTATTAATTTTCTCACCAGAAAGCTTTTATTTTTTATTCCTTGTATTTTTCAGTTGCTTGTATCCCCTACCAGTCTGTATAGTTTTCTTCTTATTGACACTACCAACGCTGGCAAAGACCATTCAAGACTATTCTCTCACCATATTTTATTGTTCAAGTCTTCAGAACTATAGTATATAGTATACTAAAAAGGTACCCTCTTCTCATACGACTATAAGTTAGAGTTATAAACCGAGAAGGAGGTTTATAACTGATATATTGCCCCCGAGGACGCGTACGTAGCGTCCGAGGGCAATATATCAGTTATAAACCGACTTTCGAGGTTTACAACTAACTTATATCTCATTTGTGGAGGTTTTCTATCATATTTTGTCATTTTCAAAAAATTTTTATGAAAAATTCTCGCGTTTTGTCGAAAAGTTTGATGTAATTACTTATTCAAGGTATATTAGCTAGTTATAAACCTCAGACGATCAAAGAAAACCGACACAAATGAGATATAAGGAGAGTTTTAGACATACAATTTTATACTGCAGGCAAAGTAAGTGAGTTGCTCCAATATTCTATTATAATGATTTAATTTTCCACGACCCCCTGCCATGCAGTATACTTACATTATATCATCTATCGGCCATCTTAGTTACTTTAATTAAGGGGTTATCAAGTGCTCTTACGAGCCAATGTAATTACATCGTAAATTAAATTTCAAATGTAATTATCAAAAAAGCGGCAATGTAATTAACATTCCTGATATGTTGTGAAATGTCCGGTTGTTTCAGCAAATGCACTCGAGAGGATATACAATCCTATAGGCTGATGCGGTATATCGTTAATTGTTGATAATATAATTATCGATCATAAATATTGGTTATGTAATTATTAATGCCATTTTATGAAATATCGGTTATGTAATTATTATTGGTTATGTAATATCGGTAATGCAGGGCCGTAGGTTCAATTCCTACCAGAGGACCTTGTGCTGCATTTTTCGCAGTCGTTCCTGGTTAGGTCTTAAAATGTATATATACTCACTTGGATTACAAACTCTACCATTCTAATGCATTATTATTGCATTTTAGTCGATATACCGTAAATATCGGTATACCATAAATATCGAATCTTGTTTGGTATTGAGCATGAACAACTGCATAAGTAGATTTCCTTATTTCGACACGAAATAGGTCGAATTTGCGCAATGACTTTTTCAAAATTGTATGTGGTGCGCATGCTCACATCACATTAAAAACCATCATTCAAACGCCTACACTACATGCCTTTATACGAAGTCAGCAAAGTAATGTAAAAATGCTAACCCCGTTTAATAAGACATGTGTGTTGTTTAAGCCATTTGTAGTTACACAGTGAAATGCAATCAATCATTAATTGGCACTGACATCAACAAAAGTGTGTGGAAATATGGTTTGCAATTAATTTGAATTTATATCTCCCTCCACGTCTCACCTCTGTTCGGCCTGTCAAACTTCGGTTCTGCAAAATAAAGAGATTGTACCGGATGTCCCCCAAAAAACTTGCGCTGTTTGATTTAACGTAACATAAAAACTATAAAAGCTATTGCACTCAAATATTGTATTCAGAAAGGGCTAACTTAGATTTTGATATACAACATTTGAATATCCCGTGCAATATTTACTGAGCTATCGATGTTTTAAATCGAATAAGCATATTTGACAATGTTAAACATTTGCATAAAATTGCCTATCAAATATTATTTGGTTAAACTTGATTATATAGTTTTATTGTGGCCAAAAGAACGAATGAAAAACATAATTGTTGGATAAACATTTATCATAGAAACTGGATGCCCCCGGACCCCCCTAGACTGCTGGTGCCTCGGAATTTTAGGATTATGCTACAGTCAGATTTTTCGCTGGATCCGCCCCTGGAAAGTATGTCCCCTTGCACTCGTATACAATGTCTTGCACGGAAACCATACCATCTTTTGTTAATCGAAGCATATTCGAAAGGCGAACGACGACCAACTTTATAATACGAACTTTCAAAGGACGTCAAGTATGCTTTCGAACGTTTTTAACTGTTTCATGCTTATTTCGCTTTCCAAGAAACACCAAAGGATAACTTATACTAGAACATTACCCGAAATTAAAGTTGAGTTGAAATGCTGAAATTGAAATTGTTAATTTTTGTGGAAAATGGTAATTTATTTTCATATGAATTTGATCAGCCATGTTTCTTGATTTTTTTACTCATTTTTAAAGAGTGCGCCACACTCAAACGTCTGTATCTCACGTAATATTACATGAAATTTTTAGGGCTGTATATCAAAATTAAGTTAGCCTTTTCTCAATACAACTGTAAAACGTTTGAGTGTAATAGCTTTTATAGTTTTTACCTTTGAAATCAAACACCGCAAGTTTTTTTTGGGACACCCGGAATATATAGGCTGTTGCAGTATTGGAAAATGGTGAAAACCGACATCGAACAATACTGATATGCGAATTATTTATGACAAACTTAACTTAACTGCATGGCCATTACGGGGACATTGCCAGACATTATAACGACAGGTTATATTCACCTATCAGGTTTGGCACAATTACTAGGTCGAAGACTTATAGAAAGAAAGCAATATATCTTTATGAATGAAAACTCGTAAATTTTTCAATTAAAGTTTGACGTGAATAAGTTTGTACTAGGTGTTACGTTGATTTGACTAAATAACATGACGTACGTGGAATATTTGTTGTCGCCCGCGATGAACTGAAACAAAAGCGCGCGAATTGAAGAAGCCATGTTGAACGTTCAAAGTACGTTGAAAGTAGTGTAAAGAAACGCTATTGGTTTGGACAAAGGTTTGGACAAATGTAAGTGCGAAGAAGTGTATTCTGTAACCTAAAATATTGCACATATAATGTAAACATAGTCGCTGTCAATTGTCTTTGTTTTCTTAATTCTTTATCTTATATAGCTTCAGATTATATTTTATGCAGATTTGTTTGTATAATTAAATAATAAGGAAACCAAACCGTTGTTGTTGTTGTTGTTGTCTATTGTCGCCTGCGCCATCGGCCATTATCTGAAGATTTTATTCCCGAGCCAACGGCGCGGAGCGCCGTTCCGGGCGTAAGCCCGGGCGAGGGTACTAAATCCGCTCGGCTATTTACACCCGGGGAAACGAAAGCATTAGCGAAGTCTAAAGTTCATCAATGATGTTTAGCGAAGTCTAAAGTTCATCGCGGGCGTGGGTCACTGTGCGCGTTTCGGTGGGTGGTCATCTCACTGATCTCTTGATGGCTGTTTTCCAGGAGTGAAGGCAAAAATTACATGTAAGAAAGCTTGGAAAATCGTTTCACATAACAAATTGTAAAACTTTTTTGCAATTTTTAATCGTAAACATTTATAAGAATTGGATATAGTATGAGAATTGAGAAATCCTAAAGTGTAGGGCAAATTTGATTAAATTGTTTATGTATATGACTTTGTGTTCATATATTATACAGTAGACTTTGTTCTTGATGTTCAAGTCTTTCCTATGCATTGACATTGTTTGCGAAAGTTTCTTAGTTAAATTAACTTTTGTAGAAGTTCATGATAAAAAGGAAAGCAAATTATTTTCATTAGCGTCCTGTACGAATTACATTTATTTCATTTCAAAGTGCGAGTAATGTAAAGTTGAAGCTCGAGTTGAGGAGTTTATAAATATCGGCAAAAAGCAGTTAATTTCAATTCACATTTAAAAACGTTTTACGTCAAGTTTCGTTTTGAATTTTACATTAAAATAAAGCCCATAGAAACCAAAATAATATACCTACTTGATATATTTTAGAAATTGATAGTTCTGTATTTAAAAGTGTTCAAATTTCATCTATTTTTTGCAAGATTGTTCAAAAAATTAAAAAAACAATTATCGTGTTGCCATGACGTGGCAATGCGAGCCTGCGTTCAGTGTTGGCGTAATTACGAATACTTCATGTTGGAACAATGTTTGGAAAATATAGGCGAGGGGTTGTTGCATGCATGTATTTCTAGTATGTTTGCTGATGGTGCTATGTACCGCTGAACTTGTCTTTGAAGTAAAATGGATAAAGAGATTAAGAATAAAGTAAGAATACACGTCGTGGTGCAAAGGGTGCTCTGACGAGAGCAATCAATGTTACAAATGAACTGATTGAAGCAAGTCGTTCGAAAAGTGAAGTAAAACAAGCCTTTGAAGAATTACAAAGGGCTCATGAAGGAGTGGAAGAAGTGAGTACGTAGCCTTTGCTATGCGTTATCATGATTATATTAAGAAAATAAATGGGGATAAAAGTAAACAGAATGTCAGTGACAGTGTCGTTGGTGAATCGAGTGAAGAGAACAATGAGGAAAGTAATAGTAGTCGAGTAAGTAACAATCTGATCGAACAGTCTGGCTGTTTTTAATGAAAACAATCACCCAAGCACAATGCAAAACTCTGAAATGATACAACACAGTCCGAGTTCAGCCAAGCCCTTTACTGTTAACCAAATTACCTGTGTTTACTGGTGATGTTCGACAATATTTCATATTTAAGTCAGATTTTAAACACGCTGTCGAAGCACAATATTCCAAAAGAGATACATTGACAGTGCTACGTTCATGTTTAAGTTCTGAGCCTGCCAAATTGATCGAAGGAATAAGCTCTGATTTAAATGCTGCATGGAAGTATCTAGACCAAAACTATGGTGACCCCAGAATTGTATCAGACACGATTACCCTAGATCTAGAAAGATTCAGAAGTATTCAACCTGGAGAAGATCATAGATTCTGCCAATTAGTAAATATGGTCGTACAACATCTTGAAAGAAATTAAGCGCCCCAAGGATATGGATAATACGCATGTGATCTCCATGACAGAAAGAAAAATGAGCGAAGACGACCTGAGGGTGTGGGCGCGCTATCTTATTTCTCAAAAGTGTGAACCATCAATGGATAACCCTCTGTCTTGGATGGAAGCAGAAATGACTGCCCGAATGCGCTCTGGGCCCCAAATTCGCAAAAATGTCCGATCACACAGGGTCAACACATTTGACTCCAAGATTGAAAATGGTGATGGAAAGTATGGAGAAGATCGATTGAAATCGAAGCAATGTTATGTATGTCAAGGTCGACACTATATAGACGAATGCCAAAGATTCCGTGATATGACGTCAAATGAAAGATGGAAAATAGTGAAAGAACAACGAGCATGTTTTTCCTGTTTGAAGAGAGGCAAAGGCCACACGGTTGCGAACTGCTCACGAAAGAAAGAATGAGGAGAGAAACTACAGTCAGGTGGTGCCTGCTATAAGCATCATCACAAGCTCCTCCATGTCGATGCTAATATGACCCCAACCCCTCCCGACATCGGTTTTATTCATGATGGTGGTGGCGCCTTGCTTCCAGTGCTTCTCGGTCAAGTGAAAGGAAAGAATGGAACAAAGGCTGCAAATATTTTCTACAATAGTTGTGCTCAAATATCAATGGTACGTAAAGACCTTGCCGAAGAAATGGGGCATGAAGGAAGACAGTCCAAGATAGTTATCACTAAAGTTGGAGGCACCGAAGAAGAGTTAGACACCAAGGTATACAAGGTTCCTGTGTCCACCCATGTTAGTAAAAGAGTTCATGTCGTCCAAGCGGTTGGAATACCACACATCTCTGATGATATGACCAATGTCAATTTGAACAGAATCTCAGACACCTTTGGAATTCCCATAGATCAATTGAAAAGAAAATCTGGTCCTGTGGATTTGTTGATCGGTATCAACCATCCTCATTTTCATGTCGGTGAAACACGAATCAAGGACGGTTTAGCAGATCGAAAGAGCCCTCTTGGTTGTGTAGCGTTTGGAGCAGATAACGAGTAGACACAGCCGAAAGCAAATCAAGTCATGAATGTCCGTCTAGCCGCACCAATAGATCTCACTGAGTTTTGGACAACCGAGTCGATGGGAGTATCAACTTCCCCATGCAAATGCCAGGCCAACAAAATGACAGCAGAAGAACAAAAGGGATTAAAACTGATTGAAGAGTCTTGTAATTTGGAAGCAAAGAAATGGACTATGAGTTACCCGTGTAAGAAAAGTCCCGAACTGTTACCAGATAATTATTCACAAGTATTGAAGAAGATGGAGTCCACTGAACGTCGGCACAGTAAACAGCCTGCTCATGCCAAAAGTTATGATGAGCAGATGTAAGAAATGGAAAAGATGCAATTCGCTCGTGCGATTTCGAGAAAAAGAAGTGGCAGTTGTTGGTGACATATCTAAAATGTATCACATGATTGCAATCTCACTTTCAGATCGGCATGTCCATCGGTTTCTATGGCGCAATATGGAAACAGATCGAGGAACAAACGTGTATGTTAAAACCGTTTTGACCGTTGGAGATCGTCCATCCCCAGCTATGGCAACAGTAGCAATGCACAAAACAGCCGAACTGAAAGAAGATAGCAAACCAAAGGCAGCTGAAGCAATTAAAGAAAATACCTACATGGATGATGTATGTGATTCACAAGCTTCTGTGGCAAAGCTAAAGAGCTGATTTCGGATATCGACGAAGTTCTCGATGCTGGTGGTTTTCACATAAGAGTGGATATCCAACGCACCATTGACTGATAAAGAAAGCAGAGATTAAGTAGTGCTCGGAGCAAATAAAGAAACCAATGTGCAAAAGGTTCTCGCAACGGTTTGGCATCCAAAGCAAGATCAGTTCTCGTTTGCAGTAAAGATCGAGTATTCCGATGCATTATCCAATGAAGGAACGACCACGTCTACAAAGCCGTCCAAAATAACAAAACGTATTATCCTCAGCAAGTTAGCTGGCATTTTTTATCCCATCGGAGCCGGAGCAGCCACTTTGGTGAAAGCGAAGATCGGTATGCAAGAGCTTTGGCAGCACGGTCTAAGTTGGGATGAAGATATACCATCAGATCTCAGGAAAAAATGGACATTGTTGTTTAATGAGATGGCTGCACTTAACAACGTCCGATTTCAACGATGCCTCACTCCAGCAAGTGCAATACTTAACCCAGATCTGATCACATTCTGTGATGCATCCCAAAAAATTAACAGATGGAAAATTTGGAGTTCGGTTTGTAGCAGCAAAGTCTAGAGTTGCGCCCTTAAAGGAGTTAACGATCCCTCGTCTGGAGTTGCAAGCTGCCGTACTAACGAGTCGTCTAGCGAAGTCAATTCAAGAGGAAACGAGACTGAAGATTCTAAGAACAATTCTTTTCTGGCAGCCGTATAACCTTAGCCTGGATCCAAGGAATGCCACGTTTCCACAAACCATTTGTGTCGTGCCGAGTAAGCGAAATCCAGTCGAATTCTAATCCCGCAGATTGGTATCATCGTCCCACGGCTGAAAACGTTGCTGATGACTTGACCAAAGATATCACACCGAAAGGGCTCAACGGTAGATGGTTTAACGGTCCATCTTTCTTAACGCTACCAGAGGAACTTACAATGGCCAATGGAAATGGGTATACCGGACGCGCAAGAAGTTAACAAAGAGAGAAGAAAAGTTACCGTCACCTGCCCTGTAACCATGTGACAAAATATTCCAATAAATAACTACAGAATAGCTGCCTTCTGTCTTGGTAATGAATTATGTCCACTCTCAGGCCATCGTCATGCAGTTCCAGCCCATATTAAATATCGTACTACTAAATTTTGGTGTATTTTACGGAGTCAAGGTAAAGTTCCTTAACACAATGGCGGACGGAATCCTGAACCAATAACCTCTCAGATCATATAATTATTAATCATATAATTATGACGAGTTTGTCAGCTACCATAAGGTTAGTGAACAGTGAACTTGATATCAAATTGACCCCACAAACATGATGCAACAGATCCCGTAAGCATGATGCATAGTGTAGTACAAAACACTGGAAACTCTGAAAACGGTTTACATTTTTTATTCAACGTTTCGACTATCTTGCAATCATATACTAGTATCTTTAGAAATCGCTGGCAACATGCAAATGGATGGAAATTGGCTAATTTTCTACGGCTCGTCATGGCATTTCTAACAATGAAACGAAATATCATTGCTGCATGTACTGTACGTCCAGCAACACTAGTTTCTTTAATCATATAGCCTATCGAAGGGAAGATGGCTGTGAAATCCATTAGAATAACAATATAACTCATTATCTATGTTAGTCAACGTTTATTCATAAATCTGGTCCTTCACCGTCACGTGCTTTTATTGGTGGATTTAGCAAAAATACAATACACACGTGACGGTGAAGGACCAGATTTATGCGGAATAAACGTTGATCAACATAGATAAGTACTATATAGTTAAAAAAACATTCGCATTCGATCTTTATCTGATACACAAACTCTTGCCGAAAGCTTAAAAAACGACCCATCTTGGGCAAGTAAAAAAAATAGTAGTTGCTCGTCCCCGCCCGCATCCTTTTTCCCTGCCGCATAGATTTTTCTTTTTTTTATGTTGTATATTCTAGCCTTTCAAAGAATTTCCACTTAGTATATTTCGGCCATTTTGCTCCTTTCGGCATAGTTCGGTTGCCGTTCGGAAATTTTCATCAACTCTCGCTTGCTGTTCAGTACTTGATCGAGCCCGCTGTTCGCGCCATATTGTTATTTTGGTGCCATATTGCACAAAAAGCTGTTTGTGTTTTTTAATATTATATATTTACGTTTTATGAGTAAACTTCAATCTTTGCGTGTGTTTATAGGTTATTTTGGTAAACTTTGAGTGCAGCAATATTTGAAGGTTTAACAAAAAAAGCGCCCACATTCTCCTTTTTTTTTCAAATTCGGACGAGAAACTACTATTTTTTTTCCTTGGCCTTATGAGTTTATTGGCGAAGTAATTTTAAAAATAAAGATTACCTAAGCCGAGAAATCAAAGCTGAAGTTTATGTAAATCAGGTCAAATCTTTATCCGATTTACAAACATCGATTAAACATTCATTTCTTTTGAATTTTCCTCATGAATTATTAATAAGTTTTTTTAATTAATGAGTTATATTGTTATTCTGATGAGTTTCATAGCCATCTTCCCTTCGATAGGCTATGCTTTAATGTAGCCCTAATATAATTGTCTGAATATTAAGTTGTTTTGCTAAATTAATCTATAAATATTTTGTAAAATAGTTGAACACTTTACAATCAAAATATTTACAGCCCCTAAGGGGATACGATATTGACCGCTTACATGCATCAACGCCGCTCATATATTTATTATAAAGGGAACGATAGCAGGTTAATTTACACGAGTTTCGTTATGAATCCCGTTCTCGTTCCTAGTTCGTCATTTAGGTTAGGCCAAAAGGACCAGAATTTTGGTGGAATAACGAAATTATACTATTTGCATCTCATGTTATATGAGTTACACTATAGAAGCTTCTTCCTTTATCAACAGATAACTATAGAAATATTTAAAAAGTATATAGTCAGACTAAGAATTAAGGTTTCCCAAAAATGTCCTGATTTTGACATTTTGTAACAAACCTGATCAGATCATTAGGGAAGGTAAAAATGTTTGGTAATCTTTAGTTACCTTCTTATATACAATTCAAAGAACTTTAATTAAGACACTCAAGACTTTCAAGATTTAAAGACTTTCAAGAATTTCAAAGACTGATACATGCAACCCTGCTTTAATGAACGTTATATTTTTCATCTTTAATCCTCCCCAAAAGTGGCAAAAAGACATGACCTAAGTGACAGTATCATAGATATCTATGGACAGTATCATTTAAAATGTAACGACAAATATGACAAACATGCAGGTTGATGATTTCATATATACACTGATATAGGAGACAGAGTGTGTCACACTGATCTAGAAATAGAGTATGTCTGTATAGAACATAAAAAGACAAAAATACAAATGTCTTTAAAAAATAGACAGCATAAACAGCATAATGACAAACCCATTTAATATCTTACCATGTTACATTCAATTTATGGTCGCCAGTTCATCAGCTTTTCTAACCCGCCGGTTCAATTTCTCAAAATGGCAATACTATAATTGCAATGCCGTGTTTTGTTGCAGTTTTGATGCAAAAAGACCTCTTTCTCACCGCAGCAACCGTTACAAACAGGAATAAATTAAATGTAACACTCCAATATTTAAAATTGCCTCCTTGTGCTCTTGTAAATGTTCTTTTCAACAAAACTAAGTATATCAATATACATGCACCAAGAATATATTCATTTATAGATCAAGATTAAATTAATTAAAGTCGTATAATACAAGATTATAATATTGCTAATAGTAATGACCGTGGTCTATTATTAGTAGTATTAATCCTGCCACAAATTCACATTAACTTTTTTGTGTGAATTTTCAAGGTCATGGAAGGTTGTATAAGGTATACGCTAAAATGTTTTAAGGATGTGTTACCAGGATAACGTCAAATAAACGGTGAAAACAATACATGCATGTATATACTCTTATGGCTATGACTGGGCCGCAGGTTCGAATCCTGCAGCCAGATAACTATATTTATTACATGGATATGAGTAAAATGCCGTAAAATACGCCACTGATATTTCCCGTATTTCACTATAGTGAAATATGAAATCATATCTTACGCGGGAACGTCTCGCGCGGGACCCACGCTAATTCCCGCCATTTTGCCGTTTCTGTTTTGAATATACAATATGGCAACTTCTCGACATTTTGTTGATGTTTCCGACGCTGATTTGGCAAGGTTTTCTGAAGAAAATGAAAACACAAAAAGGAAGACTAAGTCCGATTTGGCGATCTTCAGCGACTATTTAGCCTCGATAAACGAGCGGAGAGACTGATAACATTGTTGCCGTACGGTGAGCTACAAAACATCTTGATGAAATTTAATATTTTGGCCATATAATAAAAAGAACATTTCACGGTGGCTTTGGAAATATGACTTTTATTTTCCCGCGCTACCGTGAAATATCCTCTATATATTTAGTTGCATTTTTCGCAACTGCTCCTGGTTAGGTCTATGATATAAATATATAAAATTCACACTCGAAATTTTCGCCTACAAAACCCTTCAACAATTCTAGTTCTATCGAGTGTGTATGCACAAAATTTACTGCGTCACGTAACGACCTGTAATGATTCAGTTTTAGTATAGAAGTGTTTCAAACTTCATTTCAGAATGTTTTACCACCAGAGACAAAGGGACACATTATACATAAATACTGTTCTGCATGCACATAACCCATGCGTCTTATAATAATATTACTACAATAAAGAAGACTTTATGAACTACACAGTATATAGTGATAAGATCGTCCAGATATTCGAACTCATACTGTATTATATATACTCTTATGTTCTGTTAGTGCTATTTCTGGCATTTAAACATTTATTAGCAATACCTGTAAATAGGTGATGCCAATTAATAAAGTGAATAAAAAACCCCCGATTAAACGCCGTCCTCGATTAAACGCCGTCCTCGATCAGCGCCGCACTTACAACAATGCATGCGACGTTTAATCAAAACACCTCCAGAAAGAAGTGTTCGAGAATAATGTCTCAATCGTCAATCAAGCTCTGAAATTCATTCAATATAACACAACCATTAAGCTCAACCTTATCCAATAATTAACAATTAGACAACGAAGCCGAGTTGTCTATGAGCGAATATAGTCAACGAGGCGAAGCCGAGTTGACTATTCGCTCCGAGGCTGACTTGTCTAATTGTTTTAGTATATAAACCACATAATGATGAAAGATGCGATGAAAGATGCTAAAAAAACTAAAATCTTTTTGGCGTTCCTTTCAAAACTTACTTTGTTTTAGCTTTATTTTGTAGTTTACACAGTTAGCAACCTTTTAAATGTCTTCAAAAAAAGTTTAAAAAAGTTAACAAAAGTTTAAAAAAGTTAGATTTTCAAAAAAAGTTAGATTAGGGTTATAGGGGAATTAGGGTTAGTGTTAAGGGGTTATAGGTGCCGTGAATTTAACATGTTGATAAATTCGGACGTATTTAACAATTTACTCATATAGTAAATTCAAAGGTGGAGCTCATGCTGTAAAATTGACGCGATATTTATACAACAATATAAGCAAAACTTAATGAACTTCAGACATCATTTTCTCTTTGGCGTACCGTCTAAAATATCTTCATTTTTTACAGCATAAATTTACAGATAAGGCACTAAATATACTTTTTAAGTTTGTTTGCCGCTTGAGAAACGTATCAAAAATTAAAATATATATATTGAATGTAGTCCTATAACCAAGTGGAAAAGTCATTAGTTTTGAGCGCGTGTTACCCTAACATACAAAAGTTCCTCCTCTTCATAAGATTAACATCACACGTAATGAGCTATACATTTAATTAACAATTATTTGCCGAAGGTGAGGCGATTATCGGGGAATATTCACCGAGACGACGTCGAGGTGAATATTCCCCGATGATCACCGAGCCTGAGGCGAATATAATTGTTTTATAGTATTTTTACACAAGTCTTTTGTGTTTTTTTGGGACTGAACTTATTTGTAATTTCGCTTATTTCCTTGTCTAACATCCACAAAACGGGTAGCCACCATGAGAATCGATACACGTTCATCTAGCAGATTATATATCGGTCGATTCAGATAACTACAATAATTATAATTGGATAAAATAATTGGATAAAATGTTATTTTAAAATTACCATGGATAATATTTTAATAATTATCATGGCAATTCTATCGACGCACTAATTTACATTCAAGCAAAAACGGAAGAAACTCACCAATTTAAGTTTACGGATAAGACCCATGCAGTCGTTTTGAATGCGCTAAATGATGCTAAAATTTGATGTTGGAGATCAACAAGCACGCCACATGTCGAAGTCCGCGCAGGCAGTGGGAGGAGATACCGGCAGTGCCAAGAAAACCACATTATTTTATTATCATTATTATTTTTCCTATCTTCATAGAATAAAATAATGCATATCGTGTGTTAGTATATAGTTTCCAAAATTTACATAGTTTATATACTTTATTACTGCAACTATATGTATGCACCGTGTCTCTATACGCTTAATTTAATTTTGAGCATTTTTATCTTAACTTCCGACTTGTGAATCGATTGATTCTTTCCTACCATTTGAGGCACGTTGCATGCTTACTGACTAAATTAAATTACATTTTTATAAATTATAAATTAATGGTCTATTTATCATCGTTGTAACGTGCATGTATATATTTGTATATTTTTGTACAATTTAAATATTGACAATAATTAATATTGTAAATAATTGTAATTCTGATGCAGGACCCCACTGAAAAACACGTAAGTGATGTGGGTATCCTGGATAAATATAATTATTATTATTATTATTACTATAAGCTTAATTGTTTCATCCCAGGAACAATGCTATATCATACATTAATTGCTAATGTAATGTAAATTACATTATATATTACATTGGGGAAAATTATTAAATTAATATAACATTATACTATTACTAAAATACAAAAAAACATCTCTGTATATCTTTTCAGTGGTAACTGGTGCCCAATGCTTACGCGAGAAATAATCTGTGGGAAAACGAACCTGAAGGACGTGTTTTCCACGTTATTTCGAGTTCTACCAAACTTCCCACAAATGTTTCTATTTAATAATTAGTCACCGAAGGCGAGGTGATTACAAAGCCTATATATATTCACTGAGCTGCATGCGAAGCAGCGAAGTGAATATAGTCTTGTGATTACCGAGCCTGGAATGACTAATTGTTTTAGTATAAATTAGTACTGAAAAATAATAATATACAGCTATATTTCAATTAAGGTTGTCCACGAGCAAAGCGGAAAAGTCGAATACGAGCGCGAAAGGCTGCTGGGAACCCTAAAAAATGAATTTTCATATAGCGATTCGCAGCAGCCTTTCGCGCTCGCATTCGACTTTTCCGCTTTGCTCGGGAACAACCTTAATTGAAATAGCTGTATAGAAACGTTGTAAATATATTTTAGTTCACTCTCTCTTTTGAATCAAACGAATC